ATCCAGCGTTCCCGCGCTCTCGGGTATCATCTACGGGCTAGTGAAAGTTTTTGCGGGTAAATTATTATCTCGGGATTCACTGAAAGATATTCACCCTTCAAGGTTTTGAATTCAGCTCTCATGCGCAGGTGTGTGAAATTTTTAACTGTCTTTCAGTATTTTGACTATATTTGCATAAACTAAATTACAAAGCAGTGAAAATCACTAATAGGTAATCATTCGATGGGCTGAATTGCACAAAACGCATGATCTCACCGGTTAGTCTGGTGTGCGTTGCTATTTATCTAATTCTCATTTCCTACCTTCTTTTTTGATTCCTCTGGTTATTTCATTCCTTGTTAATATATCTTTCTATTCCAAACGCAAATTAGTTTCTATGACAGATAAAGGTACCAATTTTTATATTACAGTAACTGCCCACTGGCGAAAGTGGGCTGCTTATCTTAGATACGGGGATTTTGGTGTTAGTTATCAGCTGTATATCGTGCCGCGGAGTGTAAGTCCGGTGTAAAGTGTGTGACGACCGTGGAGCAAATGAAGCAAGTGTAAGGGCAGAAAGGCGAAATACACCAGATTAGGATAACACGAAGAGAATGTAGAAGGAGTAAGAAAGGGTTGCCAATCCAACAAATGGGTTAAATGAGAGGCAGGCCGAAGTGGCTCGAGTTCAAACTAGCACCTAAATTATCACTGGAACAAATCCTAGGTATGGATTTTTTTTCTCCCACTATATGTATCTGCTTGCTTGTAAGAAACCGTGGATGGGCGAATCATGGGCAGCTTAACCAGCGAAACTAGTAAATTTTACCTTATTATTTAAACCAGCCAAAACTTGACGATATTTGCGCTGCTCATCAACACTTGCATCGATCCTGTTTCGATAGCTGTTCAAATCGGAGGGCACGAATACAGCATCCGTTGGCGCTCGCACTTAAACATAAACCATTTATTGATGACACAGTGTGAATATGGTTAGTTATTAAAAAATTTGATGGCACTCGTATTTACCAGGCCATATCTGGTTCAAGATTCATGTATCACTATTACACATTTTTGCAGCTGAAAAATAGCGGTGCGCACTAGAAAGATAATGAAGTGACGCATTTTTGTTATATTTCGGATATGTTAATCTGCGAGTGAACTATGGATGTGCCAGGAAGGGTCCAGCGCAGGGAAGACGACTAAATTACTGACTTAGGACTTGTATCAATTTGGATTTACGAAAATAACCCGTATTCTGTGGTGTGCGACCAGGGGCATTTGAGTATAAAAATAGTCGGTTTAAATACCCAGGTATTACTAATATCAGCCGATCGCAGTGGAAAACCATCACTGCAAATTTCATCGTTTCTGTCGTTCTTCTATTAACCTACATAAACTGATTACATATTTATTTAAAAATATTCACATCATGATGTAATTTCCTCAAATCGTTTATTCGAAACCATAAAAAATCGTTTGTTCGAAACCGTTTTTTAGTTTAATTTCACTACATTATCAGTTGTGTTGTATGGAAGTGAAATATGGAATAACACGCTTGTCAAGGAGGAAAAGTTTGTAGTGGAATAATCACAAAATCATGTAGTAGACGTTAACAAGTTGCATGAAGAGCTTGTTGAACTTTCGAATTATTACGTAAAAAAATGTAAAAGTATGTGTAAAAAATCTCTGTATTGTTTCAAGCAAAAGAAGCAAAAGAAAAAACAGACCATTATGTGAAAGTGAATTTGTATTGTTTCAAGCAAAAGAAAAAACAAACCACTATGTGATAGTGAAGTTGATGGCAGTATATCATCGGAATGCATAATTATATCACTTAAAGCCGTTCCATCACTGTAAAAGAACTTATATAGATATTAGACAGGACTGTTGAAAAAAGTGAATTAAAAATTTTGAGAAGTTAGTAAAAATCTAAATCAAAACTGAAAAAAATGAAACTGAAATTGATGAAAAGCGAAATGAGAATACAGCTGGAAACAAAATTATAAACTTAATAAACTGAGAAATAACTGCAAGTCATAGGAATAAGAAAACTGAGGCAATTGCAAAAAC